CTAGTCATCACGTAGCAGAGCGTCAGGATGCTTTTTGATGTTGTATGCAAGCAGGTGTTCCGTTAAATCAGCGCTATATAGTAAATCCCAATACGGGAAAAATTTGTGTGCTTTGCTGATAACTAGATATCACATGTCAGAAAGTGGTAGTTGAAATCTTACACAATTGGAGCAACATTCTGCATGATGTTTGGTTGGTACGATCTGTAGACGTATAAGGCATCAAACAGACAAAAAGGAAAAAAAAGCCAAACGCCTGATTAGAGCAAAATTAATCCTCTGATAAGTCCTATTTACATAAAACATAACACAAGTTCTACTAACAGACAAAATGCAAATCATCATTACACGGCTAGATGATACCGCTCACGAATATGCTATCACACGTGCAAAGGACCAGAAAGTGGCGTAAGTTCACCAAAAAAACGTCGGACACTCCACGCTAATAGTTTAAACTACGAGAGAGCCATAAATTACTTTCAATGGAAATTAAGAGTCGCTTTCTTGTTAGACAACTTCGCATAAGGGAAACGTAATTTCGGAAAATATGGAAGGTCCAGAGAGTTAATTTTACTGACGCTAACATTTTCTAATGCGTCTTTTTACAGCCTAACTTGGATGTAACCGTAAGTAGTTGTATCAGTGAGGAAACAGTCTCTCCAAAAATACTGGTTTTGGACGAAGTGAAAGCTCTGCCGTCCTAACTTTCCAACCCTCTTTATTACTATAATATGGATAATGAAAAAGGAAGCAGTATGCTTATTATTTCCTCTTTCTCTACCCCTATTACGATTAGTCATGTCAGGGAGATAAATCAGGAAAGTATCTTAAAACAAATCAAATCGACCTTCAGCATTTTTGCGTTCTGCTGTTGAGTAAAAACGCATATTATGGAGAAGTTGCACCTATGTTTGTATTCAGAAACCAGTGAATTTCGTCACTCACTTTCAATTCAGTAACCAGGAAAGCTGGGAAAGTGAAATTTTGAGGGAATATTCCTGCTTCATTTGTCGTCTCCTGTTTTAAAATCATCGTTCTGCTAGCCTGAATCGTGCGTAAAGGGTTCCAGAAAAAATGTGTAAATTCATTTTTTGGAGAACGATTTCGGGGACCAGACACGAGAGGAGGCTAGAACTTCGCGGGACTGTTCTCTGTGCGCGTATGAGCTAAAGATTTCAAAATCAGCTTAGTGCGTGCTTGCGCCACGCGCGCGATTACGTCAGGCTTGACAGTTGGCACCTGACAAGCTCGAAAATTAGCTAGAAAATAGTAATCAAGCCAGAATATTTATTATTCATTTCGGAAATCGTATACCTAAATGGAACCTTGCGTCTCGCTTTAGGACTCGTTACAGATATTTGTGGCGAAGAAGTGATTTCGCTTACCGCAGACCTACAGTTCTTTATTTTATTTCGTTTTGCTACAGCTTGAGAGCGAAATTCCCCGCACGTGGGGATGAAAAATACTCAGTTTTGTCGCAATCTCAAAAGCGAGTGCATTTTGCAGGTTGTGTAATCCTTCTCTTCCGACATCCTGTGCATTATCAAACTTAGATTTTTATGCGTTTTTGCATGCACGCAGATGCAAAAACTTTTATTATGACAGCCCATGCAGTGTGTGTGTGTGTGTGTGTGTGTGTGTGTGCGTTTGCGTGCGTCTGCGTCTGTCCGAGTATTTCAGCCTGGAAACTAAACACGCTTTGGCGCTGGAATTTTGCCAGTGGGTTCTCTGGCCAAGTGCCACTCCAAGGCTCCGGTACCAACTTTCGCTCACGTATTGAGTACGTGAAAGTTTTAGTGGGAAAATCGCTAGCTCAGGAACTGGAAGAACTGGGAGGCTGAAATCTTAAAAGGATTTTTCCAGCTCGCGCACAATTTAAAGATTTCAAATTCAGCTTCCAGGTGTGTATAGTTCTCACATAAGGCTCAGTAAAAGCTTTTGGCGGGAGAACGTTAACTCGGGAATCTGAAAAGCTGGAAAGCTGAAATTTTAACGGAATGCCCTCTGTCTAATTACCACATAGTTGCACAATTACTTGCCGAACTTCGAGAGCCAGCATTTCACGAACTCTTGCTGCTGAGTTTCCAAGCCTTACAACAGCACGAAATACTGCAAAAACGCGTAATCGCACACACCCGCCTGGTGCGTGTAGCCAGTAGTTTAATCATGCGTACAGACAGGTGCCATGTTAAAGCGTCAGGATACTTTTTTAATCTCGTATGCAAGCAGGTGCTCCGTTAAATCAATAACGTGAAAGTTGTCGCTGTGGCAGTGCTATATAGAAAATTCCGAAAAATTTGGGAAAGATTTGTGGGGAAAACCTGTGTGCTTAGCTGATAACTAGATATTACTTCTCAGAAAGTGGTACTTGAAATCTTACGCTGTTGAGACAACATTCTACGTGACGTTTAATTGATACGATCTGTAGACGTATAAGGCATCAAACAAACAAAAAGG